GCTTATCTTGATTTGTGTTTCATTAACGACCTGAATTTATTTAACTTGCGCTGTCGCTCCCCTATTGGCACCTCTGATCATGCAACACTGAAATTATCGCCCACGATCTACAGTAGATCCAATCATCAGTTTTACACTCGGCATCATGATCGTCGTCTTCGTCGGCGTCAATGCCAACCCGAAAATCTTGCTAGACTAAAAGATACATTAGATCAGACAGATTTCTCTTTATTTGTACATAATGACCCCTCTATATTTTGTGATACCCTGAATGAATACTTGAAGTTCTGTTATGATACGTGCTGCCCATGGGAAACTATACATACGGTCAGACCGTTTTTCGTACCCCACACTTAAACGATTGCGTCGGAAGAAAGAACAAGCTTCCAAGGCGAAAAAGTACTCTTTGGTGAGAGACCATTTGAAAGCAATCAAGGCTGAACTGCGGAGAGTAAGCGCCGCTTATGTGCATGCACTGCTGGCAAACAGAAATTGTCGGGATACATGGAAAATGATGTTTGAGTTCTGCGGTCTCTCTCAGCTGCCAATGTGGACGATATCAATCGCCAATTCAGCAATGCTGAAACCGACACCCTTATTCCATTCACAGCCGTTGCCCTGCTCCTAATGTTGTCAATCTAATCAAATGAAACTGAAGTATTCAAAACCTTCAGCAACCTGAAGTCTAATAAAGCATGCGGTCCTGATGGACTGCCACCTGCTGTGCTCAAAGAATGTGCAGCCTCCCTTTCCCCTGTTTGCACCAACCTACTCAACCTGTTTTACTGAACATTGCATTCTGGACTGCTGGAGAGTGGCTTCTATCACACCAGTACCCAAAAAAGGATCCTCCAAATTTCGCCCGATTGCTTGCACTTCTGTGAGTCATGGAAAAGATTTTACTACAAAAGATGATGCCTTAGCTGAATGCACCTGATCCCAATCAATTTACCTACTGCAGTTCTAGGTCAGCCATTGATGCGTTGGCATCCCTCGATCATTATATCTCTTCCTCCTTGGATAGGAAATGTAAAGCTGTTCCGGTATGTTTCTTTGATTACAGTGATGCCTTTAATTGTGAGGATAGGTCCAAACTTCTTCACACTCTTTCTGGGAAAGGCATTCAGCCGGAGCTTACCAATCTATTAAGTAGTTATTTCACCCATCGATCACAGTTTACCAAATATAAAGGTCATAACTCTTCACTTTTACC